ATAGGTGCAGGGAGTGTCTCATCCCTCCTCCTCCTACATTACCGAACAGTTCCTTCCTTCACAGATTATAACATTAATCCTCTGGCTCTGGTTAACAATGACAGTGACAGCGGGATTTGACACATATCCAATAGACACTTTTCAGATAAGTCCATATAAATGAATCCTAATAAAACTGTGATAATGACCATGAATATAATATGTAGATGTTAACAAGTTTATGTTTATATCGTTTTATAATCAAATGCATTTTTAATTTAATTTTTAATATAATGTGCAATATGCCATCAGGGGCTTTTATGTAATTTAATGTGTATGTTAATATTTTATGGGTAAATGTTTCTTGCTTCTGAGAGCTGCCATTCTAAATGTTGTTGTACTTCAATAACAATAAAGTATCTTACCTTTACACGGTTTTTATATTTTTACAATTATACCCACTGTACTGTTGTAATTAGAATTGGTTTTATGATTGATTTTGTATAAGCTGGAAAGGATATTGACATCTGTCATTTATATGTATAACATGAAATGCATTCAGTTAATCTGTTCACTGATATTTTCTTTTAATAAAATAAAGTCTTGAATAGCACACAATCTAAAAATGAAATCCTGTTGGCCAATATATTAATTTTAAATAGTGTTGGTTGATTAGCCGGCTTCAGGGGTAAAATATTTGAAACAACGTATACTCATACACATTATTACAGGGTTATTGTGAGACTGATGTTATTATTATAATGTTGTAAATTAACATGACAAACCATATCTTCAAACTTTTAAATGTGTTGTTGTCTGTGTGAACCAGCAGTAAAAACAGTTCTGTATTCTTGCATTCTGTTATCCAACAGTATTGAATCTCAAAGCTTTGTAAAATAAATTAAGAGTCTATTACGTATAAATCATTTGAAACATGAAAATGTTGCATCATCTCCTGCAGGGAATAGAACATGTATATATGAGAATATGAGAAATGTGATAATTTGCCACAAGGTATGAAACACAGGACGCCAAAAATAGCTTTTGTTCGTCTGGCTCGCATGCAAGCATCGTCTATTGTATTCTAAGAGCAGTTATCTCAAGACTAGCTCAAGACACCCCTGCTAAAGGCTAAAGGGTCGGTTTTGACTGAGTGATGGTGATATATGACAAAGAACTTTGAATGAAGCAGGTACACTTGTTTGTGCCAAAAAGCCCCTTGGTCAGAGAACATATTTCACATTATGCTTCAATGTGTCACACCTTGATGATTTTCAGTTGTTCTCCACTGGACAAAACAACTTAACAGTGATATAAATTTTAATCCCTGTGTTCTTCCATTGTATTCACAGTTTAATTCATATTGCAGTGGTCACTATCTGATTCAGAGAGGAGGTAAAATGCATAGTATGAAGTATGAGAACCATACTTGTTCAAGAAGTCAAACCACCTGCACAGTGAGGTTATTTGGATTGTATTATTTATTCATAAGCCAAAATTCATACATTTGCATGGCAACATCTCTATAAATATGAATTTTCCACAACTTCACATTCTGATCCTGTAACTACAGAATAAAAGCCACACAATTCTCCTCTATTTTTTATAATAAGAAGAACAGAAAGAGAACCAAACAAAACAATTTGTCATTGTGTGTTGTGTCCTATCTCATGTGCCAGCAATACTAATATTGTAATTTAATCATATTTTTGTGGGGAACAAAATAGTGGTTATTAGATTCTAATTTAACATCCCTGTTCGATTATGTAAAAATATATACTGGGAATTCACATACAGTGAGGGAAGACCATTTTGAAGAACAGAACTCTGTTGTCAAATCATGATTTATGACTCCTTCATGATTAATGGCCTAAAGCCCTGTAAGATACAATCACATTGCTTGAAAATTTGTTTCCTACTGTTGTTGGTGTTCTGCTTCTTTCATCATGCGATTCATAATCATATAGGAAATTTTACCACTGGAAAAAAGAAGAAGATTCCCTTTAAAGGACAATTGTGACCGGATTAGAGTAGTGTACCTAACATCAGAACAGACCCAAGGAACAGTGGAGCCGGTTCAGAAAACCAGAACAATACTATAGTACAACACTACCACCTGCTGGTTCAAAAGTTTACACAAATATTTTGCCAGTAAATGAGCAATGATTATTGACAGTCGTCTTAATACCAGATAATAGTTATAATCATAATAATCATAATTTATGTTAGCTTTAATGCCAAAAATATTATTATCTTACTATTGCTAATGGTTCAGAGCACAAAATAAGCAGACAGAATAATATAACCCAAATAATACATGAGCGTCCGATCGCAAAACAATTCTTAACAGATATTGACTTTCAATCTATTCTCATACTGTATCTATCTATGATGAGATTGAAAGTAGTGGCAGTAGATCTGGTGTCTTCTCAAACTCAGTTATTATTATTACAAGAGTCAGTCTGTACTTTTTAAGTATGCGTAGGCCTATCTGCCTGCTGCTACATAAATACTTTCCTGCATCCAGGTTATAGAAAATGCATTGCATTCAGTGAGATAAACTTTAATGTCCATTCTATATGCATGCGCAATAAATATACGGCAACAGCCATCCACACAAGGTGACACAAGCCGAACATACCTAAACAACTTGCACAAGTGGTCAGTTTGTGTGCAAACGTGACCAACTTTCTTCATTTTTTATGTCATTTCTAGCGTGAAAAGTATAGTAGTAATTAAATATTAGCTTAGTTATCACCAAAGCTCTCTCTATTGTTGATCAATAAAGCATTATTCTGCCTCAGAAGCCAGTGCAAAATTAGTTTTGAGAGATACGCTATACCTTCATGCGCAAAAGCTGCTTCATTGCCTAAGCTTTTGGACATTGCCCAGAAGAGCTGATATAGCCTAAGCCTACCGGAGTACCAATGTTGTGCCGACAACACCGGTTACTTTGGCTGCATCTGAAATAGAATGGTTCCCTGCTATAGCCTATACTAGACGAAAAAACAGTATGTGACAAAATGTCAGAATTCACAGTACTCAGAAAAGAGTAAGCAAAAAGTACCTGGATGAACAGGTCTTTATGAATGAGTCATTGAATCATTCATTCAATCAATTCATTCAAAAACACAGAATATCACAGGGTCGTAGCTAGAGGGCCCCAGTGATTTGAACCAAGGGGGCCCACAGCAACAACCCGCACCAGGGCCCCGTATACCCTATCTACGGCACTGGAATAGCGCACTAGCATACTTCTTATTTCTTCAATATCTTTTAATGGCGAGTATTCTATTCTGAATTTAGCCTCCGTCTTTATGAGTTAGTCATCATTAACTTACAAATGATTCATTCAGGAACACAGGGATTGTGCTGTGGCTTTGTTTGTGGTGGAGCAAAAACAGACAAATTAACTGCAATGAAATGTAAATCTAAAATATAAGTTACTCAATACAATATATATAAATAACAATGTAAATCATTTAAACACTCAATAATGTAAATATAACAAAAATTAAAGCAATAACACACTCACAATCATGCTGTTTTCGAACGCTTTCAATACAAATGTCAAGCATAAATTCAGTGGTTAGTGGTTCTCAAAAGATGTGACTTGAGCCTAATAAAAGGGACATGACAGAGGAGGGGCAATGAGTCCGGGCAGCCTGCCAGAGATCAGCACAAACAAACTGCACATGCAATGCCACTGGTCTAATGGCCTCACGGCCTCACCCTTACTTCTCCAAAACCTCATGACATCTGCAGGATCTGTTCATAATACCAGATTTCACTGCATATATGATTACACAGTAGGAGTTTTCCTCTTCCATGAATTTAACCCAAGTTGTAACTGGGCTTCTTGTCACGAACACCAGAATAAGTTTTACAGTTTATATTTCCCAACTGAAGCTCTGTAAAATGAATTTATTTTCTTTGTCAGGGCAAGGGGAAAATGTCTGGAATTTTTTTTTTTTTTTTTTTTTTAAACCCCACTAAGATGAAGAGGAAACTGCCTGTTGGAAAACTGCTTTCTTTCCTGACTGGCTTCCTATTCCTGGGGATAGTGTGTGTCTGACTGTGAGCTGGCAGGGTCAGCAGCAGTGACTGAGCTCCTTTGACTTGCACAAACCAGTCACCCATCTTACTTCCTCTCTCAGTTTGCTTGTGAGCCAAACAACACTGGTCCCTCTGCACATGTCTCTGTACTGATTTTATGTGAATTAGAAACTACAGTGATTGATGCAATGTGTTACACTAACATACACTAAAAGTAGAAAATTGTGCTAAAAGATGAAGAACACGGTTACTCATCACTTATCTCCTGCAACATATTTACAATACAAAAGCACTACATCATAAAACAATTTAGAGAAAAAAAGAAAGAAAATAATACTAATTTTGCATATTTTTATTTTGGAGTCTAACCCCCCAAAAATTAAATTATGGTAGGCCTATCCATTATATAAAAGCACAATAATTTTTTGGTTGCATGTTTGGAATTTGCTAGTCTTTTCTTACCTATTGTGGTGTAAAACAGCTTCTCGAACAAGAAAAAAATTAGGGCGCTGGGCGGGACTTGATTTTGTCCATAGGGAATTGATTGGATGGTTGTGGTTTACTATTGCTGTGATCTCATGTGAGTGACAGGTTGTCCCGCCCTCACGCCAGTAAACACGTCATCAGAGAAGAGATGAGATGTCACTGCAAAAGGGAAGGGAAGTTAGCTTGACTAAATATTATGATGGCGCCTGCATTAATAAAATAATGATGTGCGTAAATAATTTATTATACTACTGCAATATTGCACAAAAATAAAAATGGTCAATTCTGATGTTATGGTGACTAAAAGTTTAAAGCATCGAAAAGTATTCAATCTAGAAAATTGTGTAGCCTACTCTTACATTTCACTAATTTATTATTAGCTTATTTATTTAAAAAGTAGCTAACAAGAAACGACATCGTGGGAAAATTCTTCGGAACACTGTTTACATTTACACAAAGAGTGTCAGCACAAAAACAGCTACAACAGTTACTGCTGGCAAGCACATTCATTCGGAGACCCGAGCAGCCTTTCTTGAGTTGAGCGAAAACTTTGCCTGTGTTTGTTTCGTCTGACAGCGGGACGTTTTACCAGGATCTAGAAACAGTCGTGTCGTGGCAATCACACGCCTTTAGAAACTATGTAGAGATGGAGTTCATGAAACTGATCGGAACTGTTTTGGCAGTTTGTTTCCATCCCAGCTGCGCATCAAGCGCGTTCGGTGGTGAGTTTGTGCTTATTTATATAAAATGTCGGTTCATGCACAGTGATATTCAAACGAAAGGACTCCGCTAGATTGTGGTTGCCTCTTACATGCGTTGAAATAAACCTTAGTGTCCAGTTCGAGTGCACAATATGCAACACTGACAGTCAAAATATTAACGATAGTTTCGGTTAACGAACTGGAGTGTCTTCAAATAAAGATTTCTGAAGCGTTTTGGCAGAACCATTTAACGAATATACTTCTGATAATACAACAAAACGTTCAACTACAGCTTCATTGAGTTTTCTTTTTATGTTAAAGTGGTGTGATTATGTTCAGTTTTCGGACAAGAAGCGTTTTAAATTTGGGTCACAGCTGTTTTTTAGTCAGAGAGGACATGGCTGATGGCTGTAGCACACATGACTTTGCTTGAGAGGATTTTGCGCCTGACAAATGTGGAAGTTCTCCTGGTTTCTTCCTCACTTAGCTCACTGAATTCCCTGCGCCAACTTTCCTATAACGGTTCCCACAATGTTTCCATAATAGTGCTTTAGGTTCAACACTCTCATCAGTTTTTTTGGTGATGTGGTTTGCAGAACACAGGATATGCCGGAGAGGGACAGAGAAGCCCTGCTATAAGATCACAAGCTTCCAGGACAGCAGGCTCAGAGCGAGCTTTGAGGCAGCCAGAGAGAAATGCAGGGAGGATGATGGGGAGCTGCTTAGTATTGAGACCGAAAATGAGCAGCGTCTGGTGGAGAGGATTGTTCAGGAGCTCAGGGCCTCGGATGGAGACTTCTGGATTGGGCTACGAAGGAGCCCACAATATAATGTTGATTGTTCAGCACAGTATTACTGGCTGGATTACAGTCAGGCCACATTTAGGTAAGATATTTGCAGTAACAACATTCTGAAATTTTCTGATGATCCCCCCCTGTATGTTTGGTTTTAGAGATTCTGTCATCTTTTTCTAATCCTCATGTCATTCTTATTTCTTCATTAAATGAGATATTTTAAATATTGTTCTGGTTGCAATTACAATAGATGGGGACTGAAGTTTTCAAGCTTCAAAATGGGCACAAAAGATTAATAAAAGTCCTCTATATACCAGTGCTGTTATACTAAAACTCCAAACTATCGAAGTACCAAAATTGTATCCGGCAATTGAGATAAAGCTGAAATAAAATACAATATAAATATTAGATGAAAAACTTAAAGAAAAATTTAACGGAACTAAGAAATTTGGCAACTTGGCAACTGACTGAAATAAATAAGTTGGAGTACTAAAATGACTAAAACAGAAATAAAAATTAATTAAAGCTAGGCTATAGAAATAGTTTAAACTAGAATTAAAGTAATAATAATAAAAAGAATAGCTAATTGATATTATCATAAGATCATAAGTCTTATGAATCATAATAGTGAGTAAATGATGACATAATTTTCAATATATGGTAAACTGTCCCTTTAAGTGAATGTAAAATGTGAGAATTTTCAGTGAATGTGCGGTGTGTTTAGGAACTGGCTGGTGACGGAGCCTTCTTGTGGCCTTGATCAGTGTGTGGCGTTATTCTACCGGCCCTCGTCTTCTGCTGTCCAGAAGAAACGCAACCTGTTCAAGTGGATGGACTACAATTGCAATTCCAAGAATAATTTCATCTGCAAGTACTCAGACGGTAAGCTTTTGCTTATGTTAAGGTTAGCTGTCACATTAAGATGTTTAATAGCGAACAAATATCAGTCAAGCATCTTTTGGTGTAAACATATTATGTAAAAGGACTTCAAATATAAACTCCTGTATGTGTTTAGAGAAGCATCCTGTCCCCACTCCAGCAGGAAATATCACCACACATACAGGTAAACAAATCCATAAGTTTTATCTGGTGTGTTAAATAATTTTTATATATTTTACTTATTAATAATAATATACAGTATATTAATAAGTGAGAGTGTCTAAATTGGTGTGAGATATTAGCATTTTTATAGTACCTTTAATCTCAGATAAAATTAGATTAATGGGATAGTTCCTCAAAAAAATTAATATTCTCTCATAATTATACCAGTGCTGCTGTCATTAACTGAAACCAAAACAACTAAATGAGATTCACAAGTTTAAGTTGAAGTTCTAAAATGACTCAAACTAAAACTGAAATTAAATAAATAAAAAATATTTATTTAAAAACAAAAATTCATAAAAATGAAAAAAGGACATAACAAAATGACCAAAACTTAAAAGTAAAAATAATAATAAAAATAAATAAATAAATTATTCAAGATATTAATAAATGCTATAATAGTATTTAAAAATACTAAAATAATAATCACCTGTTCGCTTTAATTGAAAAAAAAAGAAAAAAACTGTGTTAACATTCTGCTAAAATTCTTTGGTGCTCCACATTGAGGAAAGAAAATTATATAAGTTTAAAACGACACAAGGGTGTGTAAATGTGGACACAATAAAAGGACAGAATATGAATTTTTGTTGAATTCTTCCTTTAAAAAGACATTCCAACTTTGTATGGATAATAATGCTGATGATGACCTCTAGAGGTGGAAGTGGAATAATACTTTCACAAACATAATAGGTCAGTCATCATCTTTAAAGGGATAGTTCACCCAAAAAAATATGTCATCTTTTACTCAGCCTCAAGTTGTTCCAAATCTGTATGGATTTCTTATTTCTGCTGAAAACAAAATAAGATATTTAGCTAAATATGGGTAAGCAAACAGTTGTTGGGCCCCATTGACTTCCATAGTATTTTTCTCCCATACTATTATAGTCATTGGGTCCGATCAACTGTTTGCTTACCAACATTCTTCAGAAAGAAATGCATACAGTTTTGGAACAACTTGAGGGTGAGTAAATGAATTTTTGGGTGAACTATCTCTTTAAGACCAAATATTATAAGCGCTTATTTCTCATTCGCTGTCATTCTTGTTTTTAGGTATTGATGACCTGACTCTGGTGCCAAAGCACCCGCCCATTACTGTGGACAATGACAGGATAAAAACTGAACTCTCAGAGTCATCTGGTAATACAGGAATAAATACAGCAAAAACCCTTACAATTCATGATCCCAATTTTTTTAAGGAAAAATAATTATATTCAATATATATAATTTCTTTTTATGATTATTATTTTATAATATTTTATTAATAATTCTATTTTTAACATTCAATAACTAAAGCCTTTCTTAGTTTCTATTTCAGATGACACGATTAATATTTACTACATCCTCCTGGCCATTCTACCTGTGATGCTGCTGTTGATATTGGTGGTGTCAGGGGTGTTCTGTTTCAGAGTCATGTCAAGGAGGTGTGTAATGCAGTGCAAACATTTTCATCAATTCATACTTTGATTATCTTCATGAACTATTTTGTCTGTCACCCTGCCATATAATATACTTTGTGACTGTCTTTGAAGGAGAAAAGAACAGAATGAAATCTATGCCGTGCCAGGACAGTGGGTGCGTCCAGTAGCTCCAAAAAGTCAAAATAGTTATGAACACGCCAACAAATTCAACCAGCCCGGAGCTCACCTGGAGTACATGAGCTCTGAAATCGACAGAACATTTAGCGTGACATCCACAAACAGTCAGTTTGAGGACTACGAGAACGTTCCGAGCCGCCCCACACGGTGTGGTTTTGTCACTAATGACATCTACGAGACCTGCCGGAGCCCCTCGGCAGGGGAGGCCGGATGGGTGGACAATGACATATATGGATACTAAAACACTATACAGTATATACTGATCTCTCTCCCACTAGTGTGGCACCATGTTTGATCTCTTCTCCAGTCTGTATGCCTGCTCTTTGATGTGCCCTCTGTGATCTAGTGTGAAGGATTGGGAAGCCAGTGGGGTCTAATGCAGGGGTGTACAGCACAGTGAAGCTCAAATTCCCATAACTGACTATACAAAGAAGCATAAAGGTGTCATCGGCTTGTGAGAGCTTCCTCTGTGGAAGCTGGTATCCTGGAACAGGACCTTCCCTTTTGGAAATCCACAAAACACGCTGACCTCTCAGCCCATCTCAAAAACATCCTTCTGTCTCTGAAAATGGCCTCTCTAAAGGATATCTACTGATGTTCCTTTGTTTTTGAAGGATATGTAGTTGCTTTGTAAGCTCCATTGTGTAAAAAAAAAAAAAACAGAATTAAAGGTATTAGCTAAAGGATTTGTATGCATAAAACATTATTGTAACATATTGATTATGTATTTTTCTTTTGGGTATGGTATGAAATTGTGAGAAAAATGTATTTGGATTGTAAATGATTATATGTTCTCTCTGTCCTTATAATAATAATAATAACTCTGTCGCATTATTTGGTCTTTTTCTTAAACAGAATAGCTGTTTGGGGTTAATCTACATTGTTTCCACACTCATGGAAAGCCTGGTAATTTTAAAATCAGGCATGGAAAAGGAGAGTATTATTTCTATAGTGAATATACATTTTTTCTTCTAGTTACTTCTAGTCTAGATTTTAATTCTATAAAATCGTAATGACTACAAAAGACATGGAAATGGATTGATTAAAAGGTCTGACCCTATTTGAAAATGCATTATTATTCTGCTGAATTCTCCGACGCCAGAGCTGCAGGAGCAGTGAAGTATTATTAGTACTGCAGTACAGCATGTGTCCAGGAGATGTCGCCATATGATAGGCTGAATCGCTTGCAGCGTTGATACATATTGTTTAAAATAAAAATTCCAATACAAATCGTACGCTGTCTTTAGTGCTTTTTTACCCTTACTTGATATTAACCTGTTTATTGAACTGTTGTATAAAATGTTCAGTGTAGTACATATACCACTCTCGCTCATCTGATTCTAGACACATGCAAAGTTTGTAACGAAAATCTGCTTTAGGCCTATATGATGATGTAATTGACCAAATATGTGGTAGGCTACGACTGCTTTGATGTCTACAGGGCCGGGTTGCAAACCCTTGACTTGTCCTAGATGTCATGTCATGTTTCTGAATGTGATAATTTAAAGGGATAGTACACCTAAAAATAAAAATTCTGTCATTAATTAACGTACTCACCCTCAGGTCGTTCCAAACCCGTAAGACTTTCGTTCATCTTCGGAACACAAATGAAGCTCTTTTTGATGAAATCTGAGAGCTTTCTGTAATTTCCATTGACAGCTACACAACTAACTCTTCAAAAAGTTCACAAAGAGATTGTAAAACTAGTCCATATGGGTTGAGCGGTTAGTCAAAATTTTCTGAAGAGACTCGATTGCTTTATTTGATGAATAGATTTAGTTTAGGCTTTTATTCACATTTAAATATTAATCAGCGAACATAAACAGAAGCTCAACCGAACCTGCTTGATGCGCGAGATTGAACAAACTAAGAGAATGAACCTCATTGGTTACTTCTTGTACATCAAGTGAACATGCTTGAGCTTTCATTTACCACAACTGATGTGTGAGTTGATGAATGTTTATTTGTGAATAAATGCCTAAATTCAATCTGTTCATCATATAAAGCGATCGTGTCTCTTTAGAAACTTTGGACTAAACCGCTCAACTCATGGATTAGTTTTACGATTTCTTTATGAACATTTTGGAGCATCAAATGGTAGCTCCATAGCAGATGTCTATGGAGAGTAGCCTACAGAAAGCTCTCAGATTTCACCAAAAAGATCTTCATTTGTGTTACGAAGATGAACTAAAGTCTTACGGGTTTGAAACGGTGAGTAATTGGAAAAGGGTAATTATGACAGGATTTCATTTTTGGGTGAACTAAGCCTTTAGTTCGTGGGGTTCTACTTAAAGGGTGTTCGTGGAAATGTTTAGAATAAAAAAAAACATTAAATAAATAAGAAGATTAAAATAAATAATATGTTAGCTTTAAATGAATATGTAATATCTTTAAATAGGTAAATAATCGTGTGAATACATAAATAATCCATCTTATAGTACAGCACAATGAGTAGAACATTTTTTAACTAAACAGAAAATATTTTCCTAATTATGTAATTTTGTTTATAATATTGATTTTTCAGTATTTATAGAAACTCCCTCGCACGAGGATCGTCACATCGGGGGTCAGCGACACAGTCTAAATTTAAAAAGATTGAAACCCCTGCCCTGACTTGATATTAAGATACAATAAAGAGAGAAAAACAAAACGCACAGCCTTCAAATACCGAGCACGTCCCCCCTAGGCTCTCATTCCTCGACTAAATTGAAGTACTCGAGAGACTTTATCAAAGTTGCCTCACACTCACAGCCAGCGCTCGAGCAAAGAGAGCGACGCGCTCTGGCCGTTGACGTAAGAGGTGGGTCTGGTCGTCTTGGAAACGAATTGGCACTGTGTGGAAGCGCTTCGAAGCCCCGCCCCCTGTACAAATACCCCCATAGGCTCTGACGTCAATGCACGTCAACCAGAGAACATGATGCCTCCTGCCAGTCAACTCGTGTACTCTCGCAAACACAGATGAAATATTAGAGCTCTATTGTATTGGAGGAGGTGGCGTGACACTTCGCCGCGCTCCGAAACACTCTGCTTCTCCTGGTAAGACTGGAGCGGACCGTCAGCGAGCACCGTGGCCGGCACACTGGCATTTCTACACGCGTTAGCCTCTGCCGACCTCGTTATCTTGAGGCTCAAGTGGCAGGTCTCTATCTTCTCACCCCAAACCCTAGTGTTTCACAAACAGCATGGTCATGGCTGACTGTCACCAAAAGCCAGTGCTCAGGGGTCCTGTCCGAGTGGGCTTCTACGATATCGAGCGGACTCTTGGAAAGGGGAATTTCGCTGTTGTAAAACTAGCAAGACATCGTATAACCAAGACAGAGGTGAGTTGAGAATATATGAGCTAACCTAAATATATGAACTAACCCTTGTGTATGCACTGCAAAACTACTGGATACAAAGTTACAGTCTCTGAAGCTTTACTCACACTGGCTTGATAATATTATTTTATGGTCGACACTAGTTATGTGAGAACTTATTATCTGTGGGTAATAAACAAACAACCTGTTTGTCTGAAGCTGTATCAGCATTGTTTTGCTAAAGGAACCACCTGGAATGTTTTATAACTTCATCTGGGCTGATTTTTGATTAAAAAAATGTTTAAACCATTTTGTCAACATTTATGTAAAATATTTCAATTAATTAAAATGAATAATTATTTGTTTTTCATTATAAAATAAAATCATTATCAAACCTATATCTAGAAAATATGAATGTTTATAACATGTTTATAGCATTTTTGTCATTTTCAGTTAAATTGTAGTTTTTTTTTTCTGATCCAAAGTGTTACAGTCTACAATTAGATGAAGTCTTTGTGCAGCTTTGCATGCACTGATAAATGCACGTCCAGCAGCCTAATGCCTCAATGGAAATATGCAGAGTATTCAAGCATTGTCAGCTCTAATTGTGTCTGAAACTAGTTGTCAAAGAAAGACAAAGCCAAAGGCTGTGTACAATAGCAAGAAATTATGCTGGTTTGGTGCCCTTTTATGGGCCATGCTGTTGTGCAGTGGTTGCATAAGCAACATGGGTGATTTTGTGATAATGGATGTCGTCTCATCACAAAACCTGAGCTGATGTTAGTCTCGCATTCCTTGCAAAGAAAACCTGCTGAGCACCAAATGCATGACACAGGTCACGGAAATCAGGGAAATGTCAAGAAAATTATTTTTAAAAATGATTTAGCATTTTCCTAGTTACACTAAGTTCTAAAATGTTTGCTCTTTGAGTGCAGTCTTTATCAAATGATTTTTAAAAATCCTAGGTTCATGACCTCTGGTGACATTGTGTCACTGTGAATGTGTTGCTTTGCAGTGAAGTTTTGGTCCAGGATGTTATAGGTGCGAAGCGTCGAGCTGTAATTTATGCTTGCTCTGAGAGCTGTGGTTGTCCAACTGTCTGCAAGTGTGCAGATGTAGAGTTGAGCATTGGAGCAGAATGTGAGGGAATTAAGATATGTAACAGGATTATGTTGTACAGAGTTGATGCATCTCTGCAGTGGCTGCCTTGAGGCGGCTTCATTTCTGTGGGGACGACACCGTCTCGGCTCCCAGAGCTTCTCATCAGCCTCTCTTGTGTTTTGTGATTTCTCTGTTCTCCCTCTGAGCTCTCTTCAGAATACACATGCTCTGGTACCATGTGTCTACCGCTTTGTGTTTTTGCTCCACTATTGCCTCTTGCCTGCATTGTTCATGGTTTCAACGGACAGTTGGATCACTGTTACTGCCGATGAGAATGACTAACCACATTCACATATGACAGCTGATTCATAAGGGGCGATGTGCTGTAATGTTTTCAGTCAGTTACCATTATTTTGGCCCGGAGTCAGCGTTTCAGGCCAGGAGACAGAACTGTCACTTGTCCAATACATTCCAATTTTCTTACATGCATTTATCATGCACATATGTTTTAATGCCTTGCAAACATAAACATTTGGATTTCTGTGAAATACTGATTGTTGTTTTGCAAGTTCTGCTGATTCCGATCTCAGTAAGATAATGTAGTCTTTCTGAAATTGTGTGAAAGAAAGCATCAGTTTTATAAATTATATTCAATTTTTTGGCACCATATGCCATCTTTTCAAGTGTTAATGAACTTTTGATTATAACTGTGCTAAATTATTGTATATTATATTAATGTAATTTTGTTTGTGTGTTTTATACACACACACACACACACACACACACACACACACACACACACACACACACACACACACACACACACACACACACACACACAAAAGAATCCTTATTGTTGAGCCTTACTTTGGCATTGTAAATATTACTTATACTAACTGCAGGAAGCATGCTAAAGTACCACCATGGTACCATAAATCTTCAAAACAAAAATGTTTTATATCATTGTAATAATATAAAATAAAGGTCAAAGTCTTTAAAGCTGCTGTCCGTAGCTTTTTTTGGGTTAAAAATTATCCAAAATACATATTTGATAAAATACATAACCAGCCAGTGTTCAAAACTATCTGCTTGCCTTAGCTCGATGCAAAACGGTAAGCTTGTAATAATGTTTTTAATTTTAGTGGTACTGGTGGATTTCCGCGGGAGATTCAAGCATGTCTTTGCGTCATTACGTCACATCTGTACACATAAAGAAGGAGTCTCGGCTAGTATAAGCTATATTGCGTGTGAGGATGTTGGAGGTAGAGATTTATAGCCTTTTCTCACAGCACTTGATATCATTAAACTTATCAATTTGATGGCGGATCCAGAAAGGTTCAAACGACGATCATCATCAGTGA